TTTCAGCAATACCAGGATATTCACTGAAAGCCTTTTGTAAAAGAGTAGATGAACTGTAGTCAGCTTGGAAACCTTTGTCCCAGATGCCAGTGACATTTCAACTTTCTCTTCCAGAATATCTGACTCTGAGGAATTGCCTCCTGTTTGGAAAGTATTTTGGGGGCCTTGTTGACTACCTTGTACTGGAGCAAGAGCTGAGGAGAAGGTTATTTTATCCACAGATTATGGACAGAATATCATATTCCTAAAAATAAGGGAGAAAGGAGTGACATTATTCTGCACACAAAAAAAGGGCAGCTCATCCCCATCATGGGCATACAAAATCTCACCTGGGTTTGAGTTTTCTGACTAAAAGCTATACCTTGCTCCTGCAGGAAGGTATTAGGTTGGTCAGCTGCCAATTCCTGGGGAATGAACCCTGTGAGTTTATTTACATTCATCCCAGTTAATCAATGAATGTTTGTAAAGCACTTTGAACTTGCATAGCACTCCTATAAATATTTGGTATTATCATATAATTACACTACCACATCTCAATTAAATGCACAATTGGCCATGCTTTAATCAGGTAATTGTAGTGTGACCAGAGTTATTTCAGATGTAGTTATCTCAGTCTATATGCTTACCGTCCTCAAGACTGGTATGCAAACCTGGAGCAAAATGAGGACTCATGATTTTGGTAACACTGGAAACCCACTGTCTCTCCCCAGAACAGAAACACTTTTTTTCACAACTACAAATACAGAAAAAAATTTGCTGCCTTTTGTCTTGCATTTTGAACATTTCTTGTAAGCAGCACAAGGACTAAGCTGCTTTCTGCTTTTCTGTTTGTTTTTTTTTGTTTGGTTTGGTTTGGTTTTGTTTTCACTTTACTGCCTTCCCTCATTACTATAATGGAAAAACAATGTCACTTGTGTTCTTGTCTCAGATTTATATCCTTCAGGCTTATGCTTTATCAATGGTCTGTATACTGTACTGTGGCATGTACAGAAATAAATTAAAACAATTAAGTGTTGAAGCATTCTCTGTTTCCTCCAGAGGGTAAAAATTACATTAAGCTTCAAATAACAATATATATGTTGCCATCTGATTATCAGCAATATAGGAAGTATTGCTTTCTTCTCCATTGTCTTCATTCTGGATAGTAAGCTTGTTTATATCGGTGTTGACAATCCAAGCTACGGTCTGACTACAAAAAAAAAAAAAGAGTAATTTTAAAATAATAAGATTTGATATTGCTTTTTCATAATACATTTCATAGTCTCCTAACTGTAAGTTCTTTAGGAAACTCAATTGCTTCTAAGCTTTTCTTCACTAACATGAAAGCTATGAAATAGTGCATTTTCTGGGGAAGGATGGAGTTTTTATTTGTTTTTTTACTTTTCTAATGAAATTGGAAACTTCAATGGACTATCTTGATGTATTAGATGAAGTAGGTACTTTACTACATGGCAATATTGTTACCATAGTTCCCATTCCTCCTTTTTCACCTTCTTCCTCTGGTGCTCTCTCACTTCTTTACTCCTTGTCATTTCTTTTCATGTCAATTAAATGCTCTTTGGGGAAATGGATAGGCAGCTTTTGTATACTTGTACTGCACCTGCAGAAGACTGTAGCTGAGGCCTCTAGATGCAATCAAAACCAAAATAGTAATATTTACATCTGCTCTTTCCAGTTCATTGACATCAGTTTACCCTGCAATGAACCTAAGGTATTTTCCATTGCAAAGCTGTTATTACTTCTTCCTTTATCTTTCTGGAATAACTGTATATAAAAGCCACAATGTGGGCTCACAGAAAAAATGTGAGTTTCCACCAAAACAAAACCAGAAGACCCAAATATAAAAACCCTTCAGGGCAGGAACTACCTCCAAGTGTGTCTGTATAGCATTTGCTGACAATACGAGTGAGGGTGTCTGAGATGCAATTACATAATGCATATATATAAAATGGAATGTGTCATTACTGCAGTGTTAAGCTATATTTGGAAACCACAACAAGAAAAGCACTTTCTCCCCTTTTTTTTTTTTTTTACTATAGGAAAAAGATGTCTTTGATGTATGAAGCATTTTATGAGACCATCTTTTTATTTTAATAACTGCTAATTTGCACACCTAACATCAGTTGCTGGTACAATTAATTGTGGATGCAAATGAGAGTGTTTAGCTGTCTAATCACCTGATTGTGCCTATAAATCAGTGACAGTAATTATGTGTGTAAATGCTCATTTCAGCCTGCAATTAATTTGGCCAAAATTGATAGGACAGAAAAAGAATACCACCCTAGGCTGAAATTTGGTCCCTGGTGTGTAGAAGGAGAAAGTATCTTCCTCCTCTGCCTCGAGTGTCTAAATTGCAGAGAGCTAAGTAGACAAAGAGCAATGATTCCCCAGTCCCCAATAACTCACTGCCAGTGTTTCACAATAAAGTGCAATGGGAGAGGAAATATTTCCATAAAGGTTCATTAATCACAACATATTTGCCATGCACAACCACTCTGCAGAGCAGGTAGAGAACCCTGGGGGATGTTGCCTGGCACAGCATGTCATTTTCATAATAGGAAAAGTATTTTTTGCACAAATGCTGTAGAGCTGAAGTTGCAGATGGCTCCATTGGCAGAGCTAGAGCCTCCTGGCACAACCCTCGGCAGCCAAAGCTACTTTAGGTATTTATAGCAAGGGGTAGTGATATCTCAAAAGAAGGGTGCAGAAGATGCACTATGTGCAATCTTCCCAGGTGTGCCCCTTGAGAGGACATGCGAAGCAGGCCAAAAGAAAAAAAAAAAAGAAGTCCCCCCAAAAAACAAAGCTACAGAAGGAAATCCAAGTCTTACCTGTCCCTGTTGTGCTGCAGGACTCTAATGAGAAGTCTTGGAGCAATTAAACTGATTGTGACTGAGAACCTGGGGGTCAGCAGAACTGAGCTTTAAAAGATGCCTTTCCAGATCAGTGGCTTCTTTCAGATCTGGTCAGCAAGCCACTTCACTGTACCTACCCCTGAGGACTTCGGAGAGCCCCTGTTAGCCCATTGTACTCAAACCCATCTAGACCTGCTGAGTGTTTTGCATGAGAGGTAGGGTTGGTTTCTTGCTTTTTGTACCTCTGTGGTCTTAGTCTCAGAGTAGTTCATTGCTGCTTCACTCCCACATGGGACTTTGATAAAATTCAAAGCCACCTGGTGTGATTTTAATTTAAATGTGAATTTAATGTGTATTCCTTTTATATTGCTATCATGTGCATTGTCAAGAGAAATGATGCAGACTCAAATCTGGCCTCTCAGCTGTTTCTCTGTGCTACTCCCTGGTTTTGTTTGATGCATGTTTCTGAGTAAAGCCGTTGCTCTGTGGTGGTGTGTGCACTACGTACAAGGGAAAATTTGATACAAGCACAGCGGTCATTCTTTGGGGAGGGCAACTGAGTCTTGAGCTGTTCTGCTAGTCAGAGGCCAAAAATCTTCTCATTAGCAAGGATACTGCCAGAGTTACAACTGAAGAGGGATGAAAGGTTTCATGTAGCCTATATAAAAAGAGGTTTCACAATTCACAAGGCTCCACCAGTTATGAGAAGGGTTTTGGGACAAGGACTTGTGAAAAGGAGGAGAAATACTGAAAAGTTTTATCTTAACCAATTCAAACAATTCATGCTGGAAGAGGTTAGAATTTACAAAAAAAAAATTATTAGTAAATATAAACTCACTAGAAAAAAAAAATGCTGTGAAAATATATTGAAAAGATCATAAGGAAATTCTTTCAAGACCAGGATGTGAAAGATACAGTGAGAAAAAGAGAAACAGAGATCCATATCTGTTAGTAGCCTAACAAGGCACTCCAGTAGGATGCAAAACACCCTGATGCAAGACAATATCTTAATCTTCAGAATTTTTCATTAAGCAAGACTTTTTTTTCAGACAGCCTTAATTAGTTTTGAACTAAAATTGTAGGAGCAGGGTGGGAGCTTAGAATTTCTGTCACAGAATAACAGAGACCAGATGGGAATGACAGAGCAGATCAAAGGCCACCCAGAGTGGTCATTGAGCTGTGACACAGGTGTGTCATAAGAGGCTGCTACAAGCTCTGCAAGGCTCACAAACAGCATTACAGTAGCCAGATGGCTTGGCCTTCAGAAGACATCCCTTGCTTTCTAAAAGCGCTGATGGCTCCTGCACCCACTGCAATCTATTTAATTGGCTGGTCATCAGGTGTTTTTAACCCTGTTTTCATAGGCCACCAGAGCTGATACGTGCTTTCTGTTCGTGACTGCTCTCATCGGCTGGTTACTACTTCCAGCAGACACAGCCTGTTGGGCTCCTGGCTTCAGCTGCTTCTTGCTGCTGCTGCTGCATGGGAGCTATCGTAGTGAGTCACTTCTGATCACCAAGGGAACCCACAGCCAGATCTCCACTCCTCCTAAAATAGTAACGCACAGCTAGATCTTCTCTCCTCCTAAAACAATCATGCTATGAGAAAAAGTGTTATATGTTTGGCAGTATCTGAAACACGATATTCAATGCATTAGATGGATAGAAAAGCAGTGCAACGAGCTAAGCCATAGCAGGGCCCTTGCTAAGACCACTCCAGGCCTGCAGTCTGGATTGTCTTCCAGGTCCAGAGTCATGCAGAAGGGAGATCAGTTCTTTGCAGGTTCTGAGTGGAGACCATTGCAGAAGCAGCTCTTTTTCTCCCATTATTTGAAAAAACTCTGAGGGAGGCCATGTGATCGACACATCCCCATTGTATTTCAATTCACAAAAACGGGTCCTTGAAAAGGGTACTATGTAACAAATAAAACAATGCTAAGCTTTTAAAATGGTTTAATGAAGGCAAGTCTTCAATTTAGTTTACTCTTATCATATCAACTATTATAACTTGCAGTATGATATTCCTTTTAAGTAACCATTCATTATTTTGAAGTACACTGGAAAAATGTTGATTATTTTTAAGCAGAAGTGTTACCTGTAAACTGTCGTTCTGCATTTCTATAATCTCTCTTTTATTTCTAGGTATTTCCACACAATATATTTGGGTATCCGGAGTCGACGGAGTGGAGAGAATGACAGATGGCGGTTTTATTGGAAAATGGTGTATGAGTATGCAGATGTGAGTATGCTGCATTTGCTAGCCACGTTTCTGGAAAGCGCACCACAGCTGGTCCTGCAGCTCTGTATTGTTGTACAGACTCGTACACTCCAGGCTCTCCAAGGTAGGGGTTCATTTAATCTATTTTTTTAAAATCATTTTAGGAAGATGTGATTTCTATACATACATATTTATCCTTCCTTCAAACTGCTCTCTGCCTTGTACTCCTGGCATAAGAGCAGGTCTTGCCCGCTAGCTGCTATTAAGCTGTTAACAATGGCTCTGTCAAGAAAGCCAGTGTGGTTGGAGCTTTTTTTAGCCTTTCTTATTGGCCTTGGGTTGTGGGTAAGATTTATAATGTTTTGCTTTCTGCATGTCCTTGTAATAGAAGAACTCTTCTGATTAACCACTGGGCCAATGTGAAAATTCCATCAATCAAACTATTGCTCTTCTCCCTACGCTCCCTTCTATGTAGGTTCAGAATCCTCCTAACTGCCGTAATGAGGTTTGTATGGTATTATGCAAAACAGAGCACAGCACAGCAGAAAACAGCTATTCTGTGGAGAAAATGCCAGTGTCTGTGGAATACACATCCATCAGTTCTCAGCCACGTCTATCTGAAGTAACACAAGTCAGCTTCTGAGTGTTACAGCAGTATTCGTTCCTTCAAGCTCTGAGTTTCCTTCTATGGATGATGCTTTCAGCAAGCATGAGTTCTTCTTTAAAATGGTACAGGCACCCATATGTCCTGCCCTAGAGATTGTCAGTCAGCAACACAGTTATAAGAATATCTCCTTCTCTGCTGCTTTTTTGATGCTGCTTTTGGTTACCTGACAGCTTTGCTTTTGTATTGCGCCATTGATTCGCCTTATGCCTCCACCTGAGCAGAAATTTTTGACAAGGGAATAAGGTGAATGAGAACTTGGAATCCATAAGGTGACACAAATGTCATGAGGCAGTGAGGAGTGAAGGGAGGAGGGGAGCAGGAGAAAAGGGACAGAGAGAGGAAGGAATGCAGCGATTTTGCCATTTGTTTTTAAGAAACAACTCATGTGCTTGCCACAGTACAAGATAAAACTGTGACAGCACCTTGCTCCAAGAAGCTCTAGGTCTAGTTAGCTTATTATGAGTGAGACTGATTGGGTGAAAAAGGACTGGGAACAAAGTGGGTAACTGCATGATCCTGGGCAGTTTCCTGTGGATAAATCAGAGGCTTTTCATTTACTTCCCCTTTGAAATGACGTCTAGTAAGAGCTGTCCTGCTTCCTGTGTTTTCTTGGTTTTGTTTCTTTAGATCTAAAACTCTGTCACCTTAAAGGGAAAGGAAAGCCAGAGTTTCTATTTTAATTAGTTGGTGCTCTGTACAAGGGAGGTTGCCTAACCACTTCCTACAGCTATTTCTCAAAATGATGCTGCCCCACACCAACCAGTCCAAGCTGTTATTCAGGAGAAGGTATTATCATTTCAAGAAACTTTGTCCCTCCAGAAAAAGACTGCAGAGATATGCTTAGGAGAAGAACTGCCAGAATACTGTATGGTCAGCTGTAATTTAGCTATCTTCATAAACTATTCATACAGAGGGCCTCTTGCCCTCGTTTTTGTATAACAACAGATCTGTCTGTGAGAAACGTGGCTAGTGAGTAGGCACTAAGCCTGTGATGTACTCTGCAAGTGGTTGTTAATTAGAGAAAACCTGAAATGCTTCAGTTTAAAAGCAAAATATGGTTCCTGAAGCCTGCAATCAGCTCTGTGAAATCTACGTATCAGAAACCAGAAAGGATCAAAACTATAATTATGGATTTTAGCTGAGAAGGCTGAAAATATTTACTGATCCTGTCTTCCCCCATTTTCTTCCATCTTTCAAGCTCCATTTAAAAAAAGTAAGAAAATTAAACAAGGTTGTAGCATTTTCTTAAACAGTAGTACCATTATATTCTCCTGATGAAAGCTAATACGTTTTCGTACATTGCCAGCTGTGAAAATCCTTTTTCTGTTCTCTCTCCTTTTTTAAAGAAATGTTAAAGATAATGCGTTGCACTATAGGATGGCAGATTTGCTGTGAGGCTGCATAAGGAGAGCATAATTTCTCTCAGTGGTATTGTGCTACAAATGGGTGTTTTGAAAGGCCTAGCCATAAGGTATATGCATGAGCTAGCTGTCCACTCACTGAACCTGTTATAGAGATTTCTAACATGGATCAATAAACAGAGTGGGTGATTGATTTTGTTTGTTTGTTTGTTTAGAGAATGCTACATGGTTTTCATTATTGTTCTTTTAGTTCTCTGTCCCACAGGACAAAGTTATCATGACAATTGATAAGTGCCATCACAGGTCCATGTTCTTAAAACTATACTTCCATCACAAACCACAAATTTGGCATGGGAAGTGAATGATAGCGGAAATGTCTTGATATGTAAACAGGGCATTTCTAATATTAAGCCATTAATGACCACAAGAAAAACTGTTAAATATTTTATTTATGAAATAGTGTATTTTCCATTCCAAATGTACCAAAATAGCATCATTCCCGAAAGGAGAATGCTGTCAGCATGACTGAAAATTCTTCATTTTGTTATAGTGTTAGCTAGGTGTGGTTTATTTGTTATTTCAGTCCTTAAGCCCTGCTATTCAAGGTAAGAAATACATACAGGCATGTACATATGTCCTTATGAAGATGAAGAAGAACATTGCATAATGTGTACAAAACCTTCCCTCTCAGTCTTCTACACTGCAGTGAGACCCAGAGGATGCACTGCAAGGATCCTTTAGCACTTGCCTGGGCTCCCCAGCCATGAATTAAAAAACTGGAATGTAAACTCCTAGCAAGGATTGTGTACCACTGCTCCTGCAGCAGAACATTGCATATATGGGAGGCCGTAGATGGTCATTATGAAGTGGCCTCTCTCTTCTGCTTTGGCACCCAGAGAGATCTGGGTATAGATATACAGTATCTTTATTACCTAAAAATCCAATTCTTCTTTAAGATTTCATCAAAACTGGCACAATTTGAGGCAATGACCTTTCTTATTCTGCCTACAACCAGCAGCCAGGTCCCTCCCAGAGTGGAAAGAGTAAAATGGCTTATGGGGGAAGCTGATGATTTCTCAGTGCTAGTTCCTCAAGAAGACAAACAACTTTAGTATGATGCTGGATTAAGCTGAAGCTGTGCTAACACCCCTGTTACCTCCACCTTTTTCATCCTGGTGATTCCTTTGAGTTTGAAGAAATATCTACTCTCTAGAAGACAGATGTGCCTTGATAATAAGTAGTTCCTCAGTCTTTTCCTCATGGGAGACTGTATCCCTTCCTTTCCCTTCATGTGCTCTGAGCACAGCACTCCCACAGCAACTTCTC